TGGTACAGGTCCTCAGATACCTTATGCGTTCCCTTGCTCGCAGCCCTGCTTGATAACAATATCCTGTGCCATCACCCTGCACGCTTACGTCTTTCGTTCTTTTTTTCTGTGGTTGGATTGACTGCCTCGAATCCCGTTCGTCCAGAATGTGCGACGCTGCAACCATCCTCTCCTCTCCACCACCACCACCTCCCCCTCCACTTCGCAGCTTCGCGGTCTAGGTCCAGGCCCGGCACGATTTCAAAGCAAGGATGACTATAGCATGACTTCCTTGTGTGGTGTTTTCCGCAGAATAGCGAGGCTCGCCAGGATGCTTTCCACTCTTGGATTCTGACTGCTGCAGCTCCATCTGCACCTTGTTCGTCATTTTCTCCTGTCATCAATCGTTTCCCGCAGGGGCCACTTTGGCTTCCTCTGTCCCATCTTCTCGTCCCTAGACCGTCTCACCGCTTGAAGCCTCGGATCCCATAACCCAGTCCAGCGGCACGACCACGCACGACCTCCGTTCCTCTGCATGTGCTGGCGACGGCTCCATCTCGGATGTTGTGTCTACAGTGACCGTCTCACCGATTCTCGCAGTGCACTGTTCTTTTCCATGTGTTTTGGAGCTTGGAGCAGACATGTGCTCGTTTCCTACACCGTTCAATTCGAAATCTGTCCCTACCATCATGTGCCACAGATGGCCACATGGGCTATCAAGGATATTGACATGTGAATCTTAGCCATCAATGCTCGACCCGGCTCTCATTCAACCTCCTTGATCTCCGAGGGTATTTGCGGTGCATTCTCTCGGTACTCGAGTCCCCTCGGGTTCCCTTGCCTACTTAACCCCGGCAAAACTCAAGACCGTTCTTCTAAGCCGCTATATCGCCGGGTGGTATGTTTGGCAAGGGAGTAGCCGCCTCCGCATTCACTGTGGAAGAGGAGTAGATGATGGGGTACGTTGGTGGCTCTTCTATTGGCCATCAAAGCACGCGCCCATCGTGAATTCCCGGACCACCTCTACAGCTGAGGACGCGTGGGGACATGCCTGTGTGCGTTGTATCTATCTCATTGACTGCCGAGCAAGGCGTGTCCCATTTTTCTCTTCCGTCTTTCATTCCGAACTGGACATCCGCTGGCTTTACCCACCCTGTTGCCTTCTGCTGGAGCACGTCCCTGACTGCACCCCTTGCGCATCTCGTCGAATGAGTGGCCATGCATCTCGACCATTCCAGCATGCGAATCGAGTGAGAAATGCACCACTCATTTGAGCACGAGGAAAACTTGATCTTCACCTTGAGACTGATCATAACAGCGGTGATCGTCAGTCGTTGGTCTGAGAACCACATCTCGTTTCTGCGAGACTGTTGAAACACGACATTCCAGCTCATCACTAACCTAGCCGAGCCCGTGAAGGAAGATAAGACTTGCCGCAAAAAAGCAGGGGATGAACAGCCTGGCTAATCTCGTACTGACGTTCAGGAGGGACAAGTTGTGCAGTACCTGGTACACCGCATTTCTACACTTTCTAGGTGAAAAACCAGCTCTCGGGAGGTGTGTTTCATGGCCACCCTGCGGCGCCCAGCCATCTCGATCTGGATCCGGCTCGCAAAGAAGAGTGTGCCTCGGTGATGCTCGAGTTAGACCGCTCCAATTTCGTCGTTTCCCTTGATGATAGGATGTTTGTTCAGGGAGACTTTCAAGGGGTTTCGATAGCAGTTCACAGGGGACATGGGAGCAGGCACCCTGATGCCGGCTCTGTCGTGTCACTGATCCGAGGGCGGACGTGCGAGCGGGAGGGACTTTGCCCTTTCGTATCTATCCTTACCCGAAGAATTCCGCCCTTTTCGTCTTTTTACTGCCCAATCCCCGAATGAGTCCCCTGCTCGGCTTTCATCACCTGCGTGGAACTATTTTGATCTTGGTTACCGGGCTTGGACACTTGTGTACATGTATAAGCAGGAGAGGCTACGAGATCTTGTTAATATCCTGACTCGCCAGAATCCATGATTGTCCTGTCTCAGTGGCTTCTCACCCGGCACTTGCAAACACTGGCAACAAGTAAGTTCATTTCAGACTTCGGGATGGTTTTCAAGCAAGCACGAGCACAGTATGCACCGCAGAACTTGTACCCTGTTCACCGAGGAAGAGGAACAAAGGGGTACAGTGACACAAGGAGAATTTGAAGTTCGGACGAGGATCAATTGCTTCCACTTCCATTGAATACACGTTGTAGGGCTAATATCAATGCAGTTGCTTGTGGTTTCTATCCATATGCTCCTCATACCGAACCGCTGGCGCTACCTCTTACCTCGATACTATATGAGCGTCCCTTTCAATCGTCTCCAGACATTCAACAAGGAGAAAGCCGAATACTGTTCAGGCAATTCGATATGTTTTGAGGGGTGTTTGCCAACAAACAAGGGGATATGCATTGTGCTGCCTTCTAATCCAACTTGAATTCAAAGTGCTCCGCAGGGTCAATAGACTGCAATGACACTGTGTCGGGTGATCCAACCATCCTCACACAACGTCCTTCTTTGCGACCAACACCGGCCCGCTCGTACTGGTATCATCGTCCCTGGGGACGACATAAATATGCATGAGCAAGAAGAAGACGCGAGACATCCAACTATCCTGACTATTTATAACCTTTCTGACAACGATCTGCACCCAGACAAAGGGCCGTGGTATCTAATTTATAATCACAGTAGCCCGGGAGTTTTGATCAATGTTCATGAACAGGACTTCAGAGATGGATAGGGCGTTGTTCACAATGTCCGAAGGGCGTTTGAAGTGCTCAGCACCAAATGAACACCGTTGTAGTAGGAGAGGCTGCTCCTTTACCTTGAATGTTTGACGACCAAGTTGGAGCCCGTGTAAATGAAAGATTTTCTTCAGGGCGTTTTGGACAGATACATGCTGTGTACTGTTGACTCTGTCTGGTCCGTTTGATGTCGGAAAGCCCACCCGGCCCAAATGACAGTGATGGCACTCCAATGATGGAGTCCGATAGAGGAGCAAGTGTGAAGTGGGTCTTGTCATGCCAAGCCGCCACGCACATCTTCTGCACTACTACTTAAGATGCCTCGCCGTACTCTCGCGTCATCGTTTTTCCGTCCCCAAAACTACGTCATGAATTATCGGGGGCGCCGCTGGCGCAGTTTAGGCGCCGATTATACGGCAGTCCATGCGGCCTGGTGGCGCATGTTGAACGGCACTAATTGGATCACGCTTGATCTCACCTTCCACTCTCTCTTTCTCTTCCTCAACACGATTGAGGACGGCCCACTTGCGTTTGAGTCGGCCACCGAATACAACCGCCGCCTGTTCAGAAACTGGAATACCTATCTCAACCAGCGCGATGTCGTGGGCCGGATTCAAGAAGGGCGTGAACCGCGCCACCACGCAGGTGATGATGAAGACGGGTAAGCCTCATTTGAGAATCAGTGGCAGCCGTGCGCTGACCATGTCATCTAGGCCAAGTCGAGAGGACGAACGACCGAGACTACGAGGTCGAGGAGAGGTGAGAGCGGAGCCCATCTGAAAGCGAATAGAACTACAACTAACCGCAATGTTACAGGAGGTACCGGACGATGGAATCGGCCGCGAATCGGCTGCAGAAGGAAGCGAAAGGTTATCTCGACAGTCTGCGAGGTGAGTTGAATTTGAATTCACGGTCAATGGCTCCAGAAACTGACTGCGCTTCATTCAGCCATGACAGCATCCCAAATGAGGATAGCAGAGACGATCGACGCATTCTACGGCGACGCTGGTACCAGAGATGGAGTTTCGCGATCCTACAAGCAGGCCGTCGAAGATTTAGACGCCGAAACCATCAAAGCGCTTGATGGTCCATACCGGTACGTGTCACTCTCACCCTTACTCAATATTCACCGCGCTTACTGACGATGTTGACAGAGCAACTGTGCTTGAACCGATCTCCCGCTTCTGCGCATACTTCCCTGACATCAACGAATGCATCAAGAAACGAAATAACAAACTCCTGGACTATGATTCCATGCGTTCCAAGGTCAAAAAACTGGTCGAGAAACCCGACAAGGATGTTACCAAACTACCTCGCGCGGAGAAAGAAGCAGAAATGGCCAAGCAAGCATACGAACAACTCAACGAACAACTCTTTACTGAACTTCCCCAACTTATCGATCTCCGTGTCCCCTATCTCGACCCTAGCTTCGAAGCGCTAGTCAAAATTCAACTCCGGTTCTGCGCAGAAGCCTACAGCCGCATGGCACAGGTGCAGCAGTACTTGGACCCAGAAACTAGAGAACAATATGCACGTGGAGACCTGGATAACCGCGTCGAGCAAGTTCTCTCAGAGATTCGAGATTTAACCATTGCTGGAACTGTCTAAGCAAGACACACTCCGACCCAAACTTCAACATTCCCCAGCAAATGGATTTTCATTGTCTGCAAATTGACAGGCACCACCAACTTTTACAACACACAGCGCAGGAAATGCTTTCTTCATGGCTAATGGATGGACGACTGAATGGGATTGAGATGGAACTGGTGATGGGCTGGGATGGCTTGCCTCTATTGAGTGCGACAGAGCACAGCACAGCATAGCGTTGGCGTTGTATGGCAGGCACAGGCTTGGTACAGACGCTACAGACACTAGAAAGCATTTGCTGCAAGAGACAGAGAGCTTGGAAGGCCGAATGGCTCATGGCTGTCATAATACAAATGAGCTTCAAACGGGCGATTCTGAAGCGTGTGGAGACGTGAAGCCATGCATTTTACATATTTATACAATGCCAATAGCTGGTCGTCTGCACCCCATGCCGATTCGCCCGAGAACCAGGCCTCCAAAGCAGATCCATGTGTGTACGTCCCGTAGCTACGGTACGACCATTGTCCCTCGTCCCACCATCATGACAAAGTAGTGTAGTTCTGGGTTCCCCCCCCCACCCGCTTTAGAATTTGTATAAAATGGCAGCTTAGAGATAGGTAGATAAATTCGGCGTCACCTTTTTTCTTTCCCTCAAAAAGGTGATCTAGATGGCGCCCAAGTCCTTGAGCTTCTTGATCATGCCGTCCACGTCCTCGACCTTGCCGCCGCCCTGTCGCACGGGTGGTTCTTCGACCTTGACGGTCTTCAACCGGTTGGTGGCGTCGACGCCGTAGTCGCCGAGCGTCTTCTTCTCCAGCTTCTTCTTCTTGGCTTTCATGATGTTGGGCAGACTCGCGTACCGCGGCTCGTTGAGGCGGAGATCCGTCGTGATGATCATGGGCAGTTTGGCCCGCACCGTCTCTGCTCCGCCGTCGACCTCGCGCTCGACCGTCACCGTTTCGTTCTCGATCGTGACTTTAGACGCCTGCGTGGCCTGCGGCCAGTTCAGTAAGCCCGCGAGCATCTGGCCCGTTTGGCCGGCGTCATCGTCGATCGCCTGTTTCCCCAGGATGATCAGGTTGCTCTTCTCCTTCTCGGCGATGGCCTTCAGCAGCTTCGCCACGCTCAACGGCTCGAGGGGTTTATCTTCAGGCACGTCGACGAGGATGCTGCGGTCTGCGCCCATGGCCATGGCCGTCCGCAGGGTGTCGGCGCATTTCGCCGGGCCGGCGCTCACGGCCAGGATCTCTTCGACGGGCTGTTTGCGCTCGCGCAGCCGGACGGCTTCTTCGATGGAGAGCTCGTCGAAGGGATTGAGAGAGTGCTTCACCCCGGAGGTCTCGACGCCTGTGCGGTCGGATTTCACGCGGGGTTTGACCTGTGTTGTGAGGAAGAGGGTCAGTATGACATGGTGAAGTACACGAGAGAAGCGGGACAGGCGATAAGGACAGCGGAGGTGGTGATTATATGCTGCAAAACATGCATGGGCGGTGGAGGGTGCTCACAGCATAGTCAATGACACGCTTGACAGGGACCAATATCCTGAGCTTCGACGACATCTTTGGGCTCCCACGTCCCCTCTTTCTTCTTTTTGCTCGACAAGGAACACGATGCAGGAGTCGTCAGAACATGCAATGTTCTCCAAGTGTCAACTTTTTTTAGAAAGACACGCTGACACCCTGAGAGTTGCTTGGAAATAGTTGTGGTTGGGTAAGAGCTCCTTCGATGTTCCAATAAATCTTGACTCGAGAGAGAGACACCCGCAATCGGAGAGTCCTCGACTCCAAACCTCGGAACCGACAAGCCAGACGCCTAAATTCCCCGAGCAATGAGCGGCAGCGGCTAGTGGCGGCGTAAGAAGGTGACGGCATCATCTCGGAAGCCCATACCGGCCAACAACGGCAGGTGACCCGAAATGCAGCAGACAGATCTTGGCGAAATGCCAAGCCCACAGGGACGGGCTGCGAAATTTGGTTACGGGCAATTCGGCCCAAGTCAAGTCAAGTCGGTACGCAAGAAAACTGACCACTTCAACAAACATACCTGATTTCTCTTCCATCCACGACTTCGTTACTGGACTGAGAAGACAATCAAGATGCCGGTACGTGCTCCCTGAGACCACTCCCAGACAATTGTGCGATACAAGACGTCGAAACGAAACACTTTCCCAGTGTGATCATATTGAAACTCCCCCTCCCAGAAAGAAACACATCTGCCTCCTCAACCCGACTGCGTCTGCATTGTGCATACATGTCACAAGGAAAAGGAAAAGCGACCGTGAACTGACCGAAGCATCTACAGAGTCACAAATCCTTCCGCACGAAGCAGAAGCTCGCGAGAGCGCAGAAGCAGAACCGACCCATCCCCCAGTGGATTCGTTTGAGGACGGGAAATACCATCAGGTCAGTCGCCCACACTTGAGAAAGAGAAAAAACATCCTTCCGTCAAGATATCTTTGGGGTTTTGGAGGTGGCATGGGCCCATGTGTTTCGGGTGAATAAAATGGGCAGGAGATGGTCTTTCCTGGCAAGATGTGGGAAGTTGCTGTGCATATTTCTCTGCAGCTTTCTGTAACTCTGATGGAAGACGGATAATTGGGATCAATAAGGAAAGGGCCAGCATGAAATCCCAGCCAGCATATGATGCCAGCGTTATCATTTGTTGTTGAGATGCGAGGAGTTGCAGGAGAAGAAAACATTGGGCTAGAAGAAATGATGGCTAACATTCTCTGTTCACAAACTACAGATACAACGCGAAGAGGAGGCACTGGCGCAAGACCAGAATCGGCATCTAGATTACCCATCACCCAGAACAACCACATCGCTCCATGCCTCAGCCTGAATTTCCAGAAGTCGTCTTTGAGAAATTACTGTCATTCGATCACGCATTTCACCCATCTCTCACAGTGGGGCAATTGTTTTCAGCACTGAAATAGGGCCAGGATTGGAGGAAGGGTTGTTGCTAGGTCGGGAGGTCGGAGCCGGGAGGAGAATGGGGACGAGAGAAGCCTTGGGAGGTCGGATTCAAGGAATGCTAGGGCTTCAAGGCTGAGGGTAGGGGAATTCGTCGTAACCTTACTCCAGAATCCTCTCCACGACCCCAAGATGCATGAAACATGCAACGCGCTCCAGAGACTTGCATGGAGGCCACGTGTAAAGGAGAATTCAAAATCAAAAGAATCGATTCAAAAGAGTGCTCCGTTCTAACTGCCTCGCTGCACCTCCCAGTCACAGAGTCTATGTGTTAGTGTCAGATACTATACCCGCGAGACTCTGCTCATCGGTTCGAGTGGGATTCGTTCATGTGCAGAACGTGTTTGTGTTTCGCATGATAGTCTGAACCTCTTCCGCCACTCATCGTACCTTCATCCCAGTGCATGCACCTGTACCTCCCAGCTCCGGTGGTGGCTGTCAAAGCAGTCCATTGGGCTCATCATGAACCGAGCATGAGATGCAATAAAAGAAATGATTTTGATTGCGCCACCAGTTCGATGGTCTCCCCAGTCATCTGAATTCCATCATGCTTCGTCATCGAACGCCTCCAACGCCATCGAAGTATGCTAGTCTGTAGATGAAGCCACAGAGTTGATCAACGACTAAAAAAGTCAGTGTCCAGAACTGCTCACCCACAAAAGGGAAACTCACTCTTCGGCCCACTCGTTCTCGCGGCGGATCTGGTCCTCCTCCTCCGGAGTAAAGTCGTTCTGGATATTGAACGTTTTGCGGATCTCTTCTGGCGACTTGCCCTTGATCATGTTGGCGACAGTCTTGCAGCCAACGTCAAGCAGAGCCTTGATGTCCAGATAGTTGGCCGCCAAAATGATTTCAAAAAGCATTTCTTGATCGACCTGCATGAACTTTTGATCCCACTCATCGATATCAGTCGTCTTCTTACGCGAATCTGAGTCGTCTTCATTGGTTGCAGGAGGGTCATGTTTGTGATGTGTGCACCACTCGATCACTTTTTTGAGGACAGCGGCATTGACATTGGGTATGGGGATGGCCTCCTCCATGGCATCTTCACCAAGATCGCCGACCATGTTCTTGATGAGAATTGATCTCTCGGCAACATCACGATCTGGGAACAGTCAGTTGAGAGAAGCAGCATAGGGGTTGTTCTGAGATGTATCTCACCAACTACGATATCCTCGCCATCGGAGCTCTGGAGAACCAACTTTTTGGAGTTGTCAGACGACATGTTGTGCAGTATGGACTTTAGACTTGTTCGCAAGGGTAGTTCGGGGTTGGTTGTGCACGATGACTATGACAGGGCTCGAGTCAACCTCTGTTTGGTGTGAAGGGCTGATGCGTAACAGTACAGATGTAGAGTAAAGCGGAAACTAGCGAAGAGTTGAAAGAAACAGATGAGGTTCGAGAACAATAGATGTAGGACAGAGGGTCACGATTGAGGACGGAAAGACTCTGCCTGCGCAGTGAAGGGAAAGGGCTACAACCGTCATTGCCAAGCTCTAGTAAATTCACGGCTAGCTCAACCCCCTTTAGGACGAGGGTGACGCCGCCCTATCACCCCCGGCTCGCCGAGCCGGGTGAGCGCTCACCCGTATCTCACCTGTCGTAAGGGCGAAACGCCCTAGCGCCTTAGCGACCGACCGCGTGACGCCGACCCTACTCACCCCGGCGGGACCGCTATAACTAATGGTAATTAGCTTCCTAGTCATCTCGTCGTAGCCTCAATACTAGTAGGGAGTCTATCTAATAAATTAACGCGATCGGCTAAAAGTAGCGTCGCTAGATCGACCCTTCTAGTCTGGCTAACTCCGTACGACCTTATGCTCGCGTACACTAAAAGCCTATAATATAAGGAGGATACTCCCTCGCTACTTTTACTAACTTCCGACGTTTCTACGTCTTACTCGGTACCCTCTATTAGAGCTGCTTCCTATGTAGCCTAACGGGGTCAGGCTTCCTTAGTCACAGTCCTTATATTACATAAGCTAGGTTGAGAGTACGTAAGGTATAAATAGTCATATAACTTTAGAATAGTATAGTGAAGTAGATGTCATGAGTTAGCTACGAGAGAGTGTAACTATAAAAGGGTAATAAGCGTAGCTATATACTTATAAGGTATATCCCGAATAGGTAACTAGGAATAGTATATTAATATATTAATATAGTCCTATACTAATATATCGCTATATCGTATTTTTCCCCTTTCGGTAGTTACGTACGGTACGTAACTTAGCCTTATTCCTTCTCCTATGTTTTATTAGGCTACTATGCCCCGGTAGACCTACCCTTAGACGCCCCGCGCCCTAGGTCATATAAAGGCCGTTTCTAACACCCTCGCCCTCGCCCTTACCCTATATCTATATATCGACCGCTGTTTTTATAGGTCGCGCACACTTACCACTAAAATCCTACCTCCTTCCGCCTTCACCTTCTACCGCGTCTACCCTCTACCTGTGATGGGTTGAACCCAGAAGGAGGCTCGGTTCTGACGAACCAGCGCCAAGACTAACGACAGGACTAACGCCACCTCCTGATTGGCTAAATTTGCCTGTACATTGTACAGGTAAAATGCCGCCTCCTGATTGGACGAGGCACGTACCGTGCAAGGGATACCGAATCCTGGCAAACTGAGACACCGTACGCAAGGGAAGGTAAGGAAGAGAGACAAAAGGCAAGGGAAACGCAAGGCGTGTACGAAAGAGGAAGGACAAGGGAGAAAGGGGAAGACAATGAGTATCCCTTGCGGAAGAGCGTACGATATAAGGAGAGAAGGAGGGGACATTATTCCTCCTTCTCTCTCCTCAGATTTATCCTCCTTGTTACTAGGTTGGCTAGCTAGTTACAGAACTCTTTCCAAACCCTCACATTCTAGACTTTCATCCGACTAGGATGTTATTATGAAAGGGTGGCTCTACAGAAGGCTAAACTAGGGAATCCATAAGTAGATGTATTACCCCGGCTTTACCTAGACTAGCGAGGTGAGGCGTACTTGAAGCGTCATCACTTCCTACTATATGATGATATACTTACTGTTTAGCATTTCTTTAATATTAGAGATCTTAACTCTAGCGAACCCGTTCCCGACTACTCCGGTTTAGTATACGATGAGTCCGCATTAGACGAGAACGCTTAGTAAGAATGTACTAATGGTAATGTAAATGTACTTTTATAGAAGAGAATGGCTCTTCTTCAAGTAGCTCCATATGCTATAGGTCGCCGTAACAGCTAGGGTCTGATGTAAGCGAAGGAAGAACTCGTAGAACGGACGGCGAAGTAATGGGTGTGAGAGAGGCATGAGGATGCCTAATGATATTATCCCCTAATCTTTATTAATTCTGTTAACTAGCTGTAGGGACCTTCTAGAAAGTATACGATCAGTCTAAAGAGGTTTTCCGAGATCTGTAAGGGAAATGGTTTCTTCTCCACGAGCACAGTAAGAACGTAGAAGCCCACTAGGACCGATGACATGAGCCCTAAGGAACGATGAAATCGCCGGTACGTACGTAATGTAACGCCTAAGAGATCGGCTAGAAAGCTTAGATGAGGGCCCGCCATAAGAGGGATTAGATTGATGAGCGAGAGATTAGCCG